TCATGGGATTTTCTTAAGACCTTCTTTAGTCTCATGACTTTCTCAAGACTTTTGTTGAGAGTAACTCATCGATAGTGAACTGACTTTTGTTTTCAACTACCTTGAGTATGGGGGATAGTCGAATGAATCTAAAAAATGCATGTATTTTGAATAGGTTCTTCATGACACAACTCTACTGCACGATTTAGAGTATGAAAGAAGGGAAAATATTCCTAAATGTCTGTAGTCCGTCATTTATAGAAGTGGGCCCTCACAACCATAAATAAGATCCTACTAGTCACGGATTCATAGACAACCTTAGACACTTGAACTTTGTGCTCTACTACGAAGTTTGTCACGACCCGAGCCTACACCCTGGACGTGGATGACACTCGAGAACCATTCCTAGTTTCCAAGAGAACCCTCATCTTAGCTGACCACAAGCGGAAGACTATACATAAGCATTAATTTGAAAGAAACGTTTAAAAACTGAATCTCAAAACTGAACAGAATATACTAAGTGTGAACATAAGTTTTAAAATAAAACCTCTGAAATTGTCTATCTATGAAGCCTCTACTATTATGGAAGGATGTCAGGACAAGACCCACGACACCTCAAAACTACTAATTGGAAAGTAACTGTGAAGTCCTCTGAAATACAATGAGGCTCACCAAAGCTAATTAGAGTGTAGAGTGATCTCAACGAAGCACCTATTGATAATCATGAACACCTATATCTGCACCATAAAAGGCTGCAGGTCGAATGACATCAGTACATGGAATGTACGAGTATGTAATATGGTTGAGTTAAAAAAATAACTGAACTGAATGATTGAAAGCAACTCAATTGAATTAATACATGAACATGAAGTCAAAACCATTTAAGCTTTACAATAAAATATATAATGAAAGCAACCTGAAAATAATATAGTTTACTTGTGGCGATTTTCTCTAACCGACAACCAAATGTTCCAGCGCACGTTGCAAGTGCCCATCCTATACCTTGCCGGGGGTATAAGATGATATCGTGACTACAGATCCAACTATTTGCCTTCTTAGAGGTAGTGAAGAGTCGCATGAAGAATCAATAATCCTATCCTACGCTAGCTATGTAGTTTTGTGGGACTTCTGAGTTATAAAACACTCTAACACAACTCGGAGCTCGATACTACTCCCAAAATAATTAATATAACTTTGTGCCAATTCACCCATTACAAAGAATGGACTTCTTACATTACTTGAAATACTTTTAAAAACATGAGACATGTTTACCTTCTTATAAAGATACATTTATGATCTTATCTTTCAAGACCAATAATTAACACAAGTACATATGTATATGAATATATATATGGATAAAATAACATTAGAAACTCTTAAGTCTTTATGAAATAGAACCTTTAAACTTTTTCTCAAAACTCAGTTTGAAAAACAATAATTTACTTTCAAAGACTCTCTAGACTTATAACTAAATTCGTAAGGTTACGCAGAATATGGGCATGAATAACTCAACTTCAGGACCTCAATAACCATATTGAAACTCATGAATACAATTCTTTCTAAAAACTAATCTTTACTTCCTCAAAAAACCCAGTTTAAAACTTAAGTGTTGGCTTTAAAAAACTTCTCAAAATTTATAACTCAATTCACAGGGTTCATATGGAAATATGGGCATGAACAACTCAACTCAGGATTGTTAATTCATAACATATAGCAATTCAATAATTAGGAGTAGAATTTCAAATAGAAATAGGAACTCGAGAACTCAAAATAAACTCATATCAAGAATACTCAAATATAGGGGAAAAATCTTAGATTACTTTTTTACTGATTTGAAAGAATATGTAGGGTGTGAGGACGAACTAGTCCAACACTATGATAGCCTTACATACCTGAAAGAATAAGGTTCTTCAAGAATCTTGAAGAAGAACTTTATTAGAAGCCTTCAAACCCTAGTTTGAAGTTAAACAATCAAGAAAACCTATATTGAGATTCTTGAATAAGTTTCTTGAAATCATTATGGCCAAGATTTATGATTTTCATTAGTGATTCATAATCGTATTGAGGAATTTGAGTTGGAAAGAATGTAATATTTGGAGAAAGACTGATAAATGTGAATGCTATCAAAGACACTTCATCCAATACTAAGTGTCAGCGATTGCTCAATAGTAATATAACCCAACTAAGTGAGTTCGGGTCTAGTCCCAAGGGAGTGGTTCATAATTGAGAATCAATAGGCAAGTAATAATATGCTCAAGTCAATCATAGCTAAAAATACTTACGAATAAAAGCATGGTTTAATATCTAGGTGACACAAGTGTAAAATATCAGAGGGGGTTGGTTTCAATTTTCAACTAAAACAACAAATAACATGAAAATACCAATATAGAGACGGGTTCTTGGGATGTGATTGGATTATGGGCTAAGGTAGACAATCGGGTAATTGCAATTAATAGTGAATAGCTGTAAATCAGTGAATAAGCTATACTTTAATGGGAGTAAACTTTCTCTCGAACAATTTAACCCGAATCAAATTGGTTTCTCTCGAGCACCATTAAGCAACAATTAAGAACAGCCTCCGCTTTAGTCCATTCACTCTCTCGAAATGAATGTGTGTAAAAGGGTTTAGGGTTTACTCTGTCGAGCTGAATCCATGACAACTCAATACTTACAAACAATCGATTCAGAAATTTTGGTTTTCAAACCTCTCTCTCGAGCAAGCCAAAAACATGAAGTTAGGATTGGATTAGCAATTACAACACATTAATTTCAACCACAATTACTGAACGAAATCACTTGTAAACAACATTGATACTATCAATTAACAATACCCAACAGCTAAATCAACTCATAATCACATAATCACACCCCAAGAGTTGGGGTTGTAGCTAGACATCATAAAAAGGTAAAAATCGTTACCAAGTTGTGTTTCCATCAACTGGGTAGGATTGATATTGTCTTTACAAAGGTCTAAGATGAAGAATCTTCAACACCCACTTCCAATTTCTCAGAAATGGAAATCTTCAAATCTTCAAAGCTAAGGAAATATTATCTCTAAATTCAGTTCTAAGCTCTCACCTTGAAAACTGAATAATAATGAAAACTATTGAATGTTAGATACTAAACTAAGGATTTTAAAACGTTTTTATAGTCGCCCAAAAATGTGCTGCGAAGGACCATTCAGCGTAATAAGTCCGGATCGCCGATCCACTCGGTGATCCGCCCTTTGGTCAATTTCATCACCTTTTTGCTTTGGCCTTCAGTATCTTTATGTTTTGTACTTTGGGCGATATGGCACTACATCGCGCAATCGTTCGGCGACTCGCTGACTGCTCCTTTCGACCGTCAACTTGATTTTCTTCTTCAGGGCTTGGTACACTGGACATTAGGGGAGACATCAGCCATTCGGTGATTCGCCCAATGGATTAGGCGATCCTCATGCATTCTTTTCTTCATCCTTTCAGCTGCCTTGTTCGTTTTTGTTCATTAGTGTCCATGCTTTGTTCCTCAATCCAAATACCTGAAATTCAAGGATTTACATCAGTTATTGGAACAAAATATGCATTTGGGGACACTAAATATATTAAAATAAACCCCTAAATGAGTCCAAATTGTGGACTCATCAACACCCCCAACTTAAACTTTTGCTTGTCCTCAGGTAAAACTCAAGTTCAGCAACTCAAAAAGGATGTCTTCAAACAGTGCTACACAAGACTCAAGCATGAATGCACATAAGAAGACTCAACTTACTTATGCAAAGATCAATTATGCACTCAAAGACTCAAGTTGTGATTCACCATTGTCAAAGAATCTCAAGCTCACAATACTTGCTTCAAATGCAAGTTCAAGCTCAACAAAGGTACTCAAATGCCCTCACACAAAAAATGATTCTATATTCACACACAATGGTTCATAAATTAAAGATCCGGAATCAAATGCAACGCTCACACTCACAAAGATGAACATAATGCATAATTTCACCCATAGGTTTGCCCGTATTTTCCAATCAATACTTGCTTCACCTCACTCAAGATCAAAACTGTCTTTTCAAGGCTTGTAATGGGGCTTAGTGCAAGGGTATATTCAGTTAGGCTCAGTGGCTGTAATCCTCATGAAATGTGATGTGAGCAACACTTCCTTTCCTTTTCTTCTTCATTCTCATTCGTGCTCAAAAGTCATCCCATTATTCACTTTCCATGGATTGTTGGAAACCCCATTTTCTTTGTATTTTCACAAATTTATTCCACAACTATTTCATTCTTTTTCTTTTTAATTCTTTTCTTCTTTTTCTCAACTTTTTTTTTGTCTGGAGGTGGGTTCCATTTTTTTCACAAAACCATGGGTCAAAGGGGACTTTCTTGCACTTCTTGATTTACCTTCTCTTTTCACCACACTCCCAACTTAGGCTTTTGGCCTATGTTGTCTATTCAAACAAACCACAAATCATGACGATTATGGGTAATGGATCAAGAAAGTTCACAATTTTATCAAGTTTCTTCCAAGAAAAAGGTTAAGGCTCAAGGGGTGTTCAAAAAGGGTTCACACACTCACAGGGTAGGCCACAAAAGAGGTATAATATCAATTTGCTTCACACTCTTCAAAGTTCCAAAGATCATATCAAGAGATTGCATCACTTCGTCAACTAGACCAACGGGGCAAATTCTAGGTGTCATCACACATGGTTCACGATAAGCTCATCACATAAGGGATAAACACAAATGTCAAACAAGACTCCATACTTTCGCTAGTGTGCAATGCTCATAACAGGAGACTCAATTCGATACTTGGCTAGTCACAACGAGATGCAGAGAGTTAACATATTGTCTATGCAACTTCATTTGGCCTCATCGTAGCTGCACATTCATTTTTGTTCGATTATGAGCACTATTCAAGTCATCGGTATTGATCAAAACCGATACTTAAATTTGAAAGAGAACAACCACATTTTACACAAACAAGAGGTGGCAATTTTTTTTTTGGAAGGGTCCCACTACAAAAAAATGTGAATAACATTGGGATTTTCCTGGGGATTAGTATGAAAATTCGCAGGAAATTTATTTTCCTGCAAATTTTCATACTAATTCCTAGAAAAATTCCTATGTATTTCACAGTTTTCTTGTAGTGTCCAAATATCATTTATCATTTAAAACAAGGAGCCATAAGCTCAATCATCCACAAAAGCAGTGTAAAACACATTTATATTTTCACAACCCAGGTATATTAACAAAACCAATATTCACAAAAGGTCACACAAAAGATGGGCCTCACCCCACCACAAATAAAAATCATTTGTCCTCGAATGCAAACAAAAATATCCAACAAGCAAAACAAAGTAAGATAGAGAGGGAGGTAAAGAAGGGATCCTGTCTACTCAGTCACTCCATCTGCATCAGTGCCCGATGCATCAATCTGGACTTGGGCATCAGTACCCGGAGTCACCTCAGAAAAACCAGCTCCATTGGATCCACCCATGGATTCCTCTGTCAGTAATGTCTGGATCACTGACTCCACAATGGTCTCCTCAAGATCCGGCAAGGCTTCATACATGCTCTCCTCCCTGATCTCAATCAGCTCTTCATCGGTCTCGGCATCTGACTCATCAATTGCTGCCTCATCCCTATGCACATCTCTGGTGGTAGACAGAGGAATCTTAGGAGTGTCCAAATCGTCTACAACCTCCCGTAATGAAGTGAAGTATGTACACTTTAGATAGTCTACATCCTTCCTCAGATAAGCTACTTCGTCTTTCAAAGCCGTCACCTCGGAGGTCTCCCTCTGCCTACTCTCACAAGCCTTAACTCTCATGGTGAGAGTGTCAATAGAAGTCTGAAGGGGGGTCAGTGCAGCCAAAATATAGGCCTCAATCATCCATGGAACAGATCTCTCTAGTCTGGTCGCCCTCACGTCAGCTGAATGGGCTAGATGCCCCATCTTCAGGATCATCGCCTGAGTAATCTTGGCTGGCTTGGATGAGATGGAGGTACCCAGAACCTGTGAAAAAGTACCTGAAAGCCCGGAGGCCGGAGTAGGTGAAGATGCCTCTGCAGGTATTGAATCTATATCCACCTTGGAGATGTGTCCACCAGAGTTTCCTTCCTCCTGTCAGCCTCCGCTCTAGTATACTCGGCCTCAATATGCCGGAAGTCACTGGAGGAGGACGGGGTAAAATCAAAATCTCTAGCAGCATCCCGGGGTACTCCACCACGCCGACACAACTTCGTGATGAGGACCGAGAATGGAAAGGAGGTTTGTCTCTGCTTGGCCCTCATGAACATCTCTTGCTCAATGATGAGTCCCAAGTCGATGCTCTTCATAGAAATAATTGACCCAAGGCAGGCCGCCTTAGGTTGACGAAGAATAAACTCATTCTAGGAAGGCATAATAGAGCTACTGATGAATCCAAACCAATAACGTGTAGCTACACTCAAGTACCTCTTCTCAATCGGGACACAAACCTCTATCCACCTCAAGGTGGTGTCTGAAATGAGTGGTGCCAGCCATTCCTTAAGCTCATCTAATGAAGATGTGGCAGTAGTCAGGTTGGGGTAGTCAAAGACATATCCCCAGTCAATTATGGCGTTGATGTACTCATTATTGCATTCAACTTCCTTACCCCGGACCACAACCAACTTAACCAGTCTGAACTCCCTGGCCTTCTTCTTGCTTTTTGGAACTAGGTCACCATAAGTTGTATAGAACTCCCCAACCCATGAAGGAATATAGAGGCCTCGGGGCCTGGTGAACTGCTCAAATCTGTGTAAATAGAGGGTGTCCCTCACATTTGTGTACTTGCCCTCCAGTCCTTCTGTCGAGGGCAACTTCTCCTCGAGGATGGTTTGCAAACCATCACCTTTCAATCTGTTTAGAAGCCTGGTGAGAGGGATGACTGGTGGCACAGGAGCCACAGGAGGTGTAGAGTAACCTTAATTCTTGTTAGTGGTAGAGAATTATACATTCTAATAAGCAAAGTATTAGGTAAATTGAGGTTGTTAATTGCAATGGCCTGCCTTTAGGCTCAAAGGTCAAAACTGAAAATCTGAAATATCCAATGTCGGAGTTGGCACTAAGTCTGCTGATGTAGGAGCTGGAGGGGCTCTGGCTGCGTCAGGGTGAGATCTAGCTCGGATCTCATCCCTTCGGGACTGCAAATGCTGGTCCTCCTCAGGCTCATATAAAGTAGTCTGGGAACCAGTAGTCACCCTTTCAGATATGAGCCTCTTTCCACTGTTCAGACCTCCAGTTGGAGGTTTTTGGTTTCCTCTTTTTGGAGGATTTGTTCCCCATTCATTTATTGTGACCCCCCGTACTCTTTTCCGAGGTGGCATGTCAATGTTAGTCCTGACCATGTCAGCAAAACATCGGGAAAAAGTTAGAAATATTTTAATCAACAGCACAACAAAATAATTGCAGACAGACTCGTTGAATAGGTTGGCGAGTCGCCGAATTGCTTTGGCGAGCTAGATCCGGCTCGCCGAAAGGATTGGCTCAAAATTCTGGCATGTCAGCGATGTTACGGCTTTTCGGTGAACCGCCGACAACTTTCGACCAGCAAGAATTAGCCCGCAGAAAGTTACAGTGCATATTAAGCTACAGGGGTGCAGACAAAGGGCGATCAAGAAAACATTCGGCGAGTCGCCGAGTGCCTTAGGCGACCTCAAGCTTCTCGCCAAAAGTTACAGAGTCAAACAACAAGTTTAGCATGAAATTAAAGGTGAGATGGGGACTTTTGGCAAACTGCCGAGTGGTTCGTCATGCTCGACCCAGCTCGCCAAACGACCCAATGTGCCTACTTTCAACCCAACTTCTCTAATTCGACCCCCCAACCCCCGAAAACAAAATCAAAGCATGCAAAACTCAAATTAAAACAAGACCCATAACACTCATTACCTCGGGATACTCAGACTTCTCCCGGTTTTTCCAACGTTGGCCATTTGATGACTTTTTCCCTTAAGAGTGACGTCACCCGCTCTATCATTGGGAAAATTACGTCATTTGGCACAACTACGGGTTACTTAGACTTCACCCAACTAGACCCAACAACATGCAAGCACAACCCCACAAGAATTAATCAATTTTAAGGCATAACATTCCGAGATTTCAACATTAAAAGCAATACGAGCAAGGCATTCGAATTAAAACAGGCATTCAAACAAATTAACACTATCAGAGAGACCCATCACACGACAACAAGATAAGATAATTGCAAATGAGTACAAAATTCTAAGAATAAACTCGGGGTTTGGAAAACCAACCTTTGATGCCGATTAAATAAAGAAAGAAATGCTAGGCGGCAAAGTAATCCTAATTCGAGCACAAATCAACGACTAAAATACTACTAGAAATGCAAAAATATAGAAACTAATAGTGCAGGTGTGAGTTTGGGAAGTTCAAAAGTGAGGGAAAGTGAAAGAATTGAAAGTTTAAACCTTTGGTGTTTTAAAATCCGTCCAGTTCTCGCCCATTCGACGACGTTAGTTGTGCTCGCCGACCTCTTCGGCGATGCACCGACTGGACCTTTTGCTCGCCAACCTGTACTTTTCACTTACTTTCCACACTTTGACCTGGACATTCAACACACCATTATCGCAAAGTTAAAAAGAAATAAAATAAAACTTGGGTTGCCTCCCAAGCAGCGCCTTAGTGAACGTTGTGGCACGACACAAATCCTCATTCAAACTTCATCTGTGGGGTTGACCTTAGTGTCACTAGGTAACCCCTCTTGTTGTTTCGGATAGTGATGAGGCAATACATGACCCATGAGGTTTTCAATTAGCCGGATAGATCTGGAATGAGAGCCAATCATCTGGTTTAGCACTTCGACATTCTCCTTCATCTCTTCCAGCACTCTATCATGCTCATTCACCTTTTGGATAATGATTAACAACGTGTCCTAGACACGTCTATTCTCATTGTCTTTAGACTTTCTCCGCTCATGATTGGGTATGTATCTGTCTTTTCTTTTGCACTAGACTTCAATCTCTCATATCTTCTTGGCCAAATCGTTCAGCTGAGTTAATAGTGGGGCCAAATAGTGGTCCTTTTCCATTTCTTGATTAGACTCAGTCATTTTGGCCACTGTTGCTACCAACTATGCTCCAAGTCTTTGCCCAAAACAGCAACACACAAGCAAGCAAAGCAAAACTAGAATTAAGTAAGTAGAGCTATAACTAACAAGAACAAAATTCAACTTAAATAAAAATTCTTATATAACACCACTCGCCGTCAGCGGCACCATTTTGATATATGTGAACGCTATCAAAGACACTTCATCCAATACTAAGTGTCAGCGATCATTCAGTAGTAATATAACCCAACTAAGTGAGTTGGGGTCGAGTCCCAAGGGAGTGGTTCGTAATTGAGAATCAATAGGCAATTAAGAATATGCTCAAGTCAATCATAGCTAAAAACATTTACAAATAAAAGTATGGTTTAAATTATAGGTGACACAAGTGTCAAATATCAGAGGGGTTTGGTTTCAATTATCAACTAAAACAAAAAATAACACGAAAATGCGAATATAGAGACATGTTCGTGGGATGTGATTGGATTATGGGCTAAGCTAGAGTATCGGGTAATTGCAATTAATAGTGAATAGCTGTAAATAAGTGAATAAGCTAGACTTTAATGGGTGTAAACTTTTTCTCGAACAATTTACCCCGAATCAAATTAGTTTCTCTCGAACACCAATAAGCAACAATTAAGAACAACCTTCACTTTAGTCCATTCACTCTCTCAAGCTGAATGTGTGGAAAAGGGTTTAGGGTTTACTCTCTGGAGCTGAACCCATGACAACCTAAATACCCACAGACCATCGATTCAGAAATTTTAGTTTTAAAATATCTCTCCCGAGCAAGCTAAAAACACGAAATTAGGATTGTATTTGCAACTACAACCAATTAATTTCAACGATAATTACTAAACGAAATCAATTTTAAACAACATTTACACTATCAATTAACAATACCCAGCAACTAAATCAACCCATGATCACATAATCACACACCAAGAGTTGAGGTTTTAGCTATACATCATAAAAAGGTAAAAATCGTTACCAAGTTTTGTTTTCATCAACTGGTAGGATTGATATTGTCT